TATATATATATATATATAATTTTATATTTATATATATGACTCAATAATTTTATAAAAAAAAATCAAATTAACTTAAATCATATTAATTTAATTTTGTTTTATTTTAAAAACCAACCAAATCAAATTGAACTGCACATTATTTTTTGCAGTTCGGATGACTTCTTTTGACAAACTCGTCCAAACCGCAGTACAAATTCCCTTAGATAATTAGGTGTCATTGCATATGGTCTCAAATTCATTTTTCATTAAAAAAAAAACGAACTGAAACAGAGTGCGACTTTGTCAAAGAAAATATCCAATCAAACACCATCTTCGCAAGTTTCATCAATTCTAATGATCAATTTAATAAGATGTTTTTTACAAAATCCGTGAAATCGACTACTATATATGTCGCGAATTGGGTGCATTTGATTTATATACTTTACCTGGTTGATAATTAAATAATATAGTAATAGATTGTAAATATACTCTGGCATGTTCTAGAATTATCTTAGCACATTCTTTTATATTCCTTTATCACTAATGTTTTTAACAGTTTAGTACCTGTATACTAAAATTTATGTGATACTATGCGGACACTTTCAGCATTTTTATGTGATACTAAAATTTATGATTCGTAATAATAAAGTAAAGAATCGAATAATTTCCGATTCTTAATTCCTAAGGCAGTCAACCAACTCGTATCACCTGGACAACTATTCAATCAGATTTACATAAAGATTTTCAGAAAATCAACCGATTCTTATACCAGCCTCGCGAATTTACACGTAAAATAATTGATCAATTATTTGTCTTGTCCTCAACTGTAAAATAATCCAAAATACTTCAATGAGACTTAATGAACAAATTTGATCCAAATAATTCAACGAGGCTTAATGAAGAAATTTGACATTCAGTTACCTCTCCTTGTGAAATTGTCTGCTACATGCTACTTCCTGCGTAGCTAATATTTCTCCATTTATGGCAATCAGCACAGTTTTCCACTCTTATCATAATAGTGCATTTTGCAAATTACACCATGCTTCAGAAGAGCCGCATTTAAACAATGAAATGTATCATCCAAACGAATTAAAAACACCACAACCCCTTTTTTCCTTCTTTCCCTTTTATGGCCATACATTATTTATCGGAATGAAAAATGACTAGAATCATTAGTTTTATTCCTTCTTGATACTATCTCTGATGCCCAGGCTTTGCCAATTTCAGTCTGGAACTTCCCTGCAAAAGGGTTGATGAGTATAAATGAGGAAAAGATGCATAGAATTTTTTCAAATATTACTTGATCAACCACAATATATAACAATTTCCCCTCAATTAAGTACAGTTTCGCCAACCGGGTCGGTTGCAATGGTAAAACCTACCTGTGGCAACTTAGAAGTGGTTTGGGAATGGACTTCTTCGAAAAATACTTAACAAAAAAAGCTTTCAATGGAAACGCGAGTAGGTAGTCTAATATTTTTGCACTTATATTAAAAAAGATGACAGTGCCAATTCCATCGTCCTTTGCATGCAGGACATTTCTTTCCCCTTGACACTACTTCAACAATCCAAACGTAGGCAAAGATAAGGAAGCGAGTCAGGGACTCTACTCTTGCATTGGGAGGCTTACTATAGATGCGAAAGAGAATGATAGAGAACAGAGATCTATTAGAGGTTGTTAATTATGGGGTCCACTTAATTAGTTATTGCATTACAGCTGAATTCTAACTAGTAACTACATTGCAAGGCATATTTGGCATACCTTTTGCAATTAGATAGAGGTCCACTTAGTCCAATGGTAAGTTAAAGTGATGCTAATTAGTTATTGCATTACAGCTAAATGATGGACCATGTATGGAAACCATGTTCCAACTTTACTAGTGATATTGAAATCAAGGTGTTAAGCCTGACATGCAGCTCATCATGATGGCGCAGTTGGAGAAGTTTTGAGCAAGTATGTATATGTTTTTAAAAAACTATATAGATAGATGTAATGAATGTGAAATTGATTGTTTTACTATACAAATTTAATACAGACTCATTTTAAGAAGATAAACAAGCTTGAGCATCAAAAGCTGCAACATTTAGTTTTTTTAATGACAACCAAGCTCAAAAAGACCACTTTGATAACATGGATTTTACCGATCCCATTCTCCTCAACAACATTGATAATTGAAATGAGTGGGGTTGGTAGAAGATGTGGATGAAAATAGAGAATTGGCAGATGATCTGGTCTTGGGAGAAGATGGTTTGTCTTGGGGAACTGTTTGAGATGCAGTTGGGGCTGGTGAGCTAGTGAGACTTCCTAGACAGCAATCTAGACTAACTACAGTTGTGCCTGATGAAGATAAGGAGTAGGAGGAAGAAGAACAAGAGTTTGAACCAAGTGATGAACAAGATAATATGATGTGAAAAAACTTGGAAGTGAAAATGAGGCCGAAGTGGCAGAGCGTGATTTTAATGGAATTTCATTTTTATCACTTTTAGAACTTTTATGAGTAGTAGAGTTATATTGGGTTCTGATTTTCAATGTTAGTGGTTCTTAGAAATTGGATTGTGTCCAACTCAACATTACAAAACCGGCTTATAAGGTGAGGATTGTTTTGTAACCACTACACATGTCATATCTCTAGGCAATGTGGGATTAAATCCACCCCTTCACACCCAACACAACGAAGATGTTGGAGGTTGCGATAAAGGGAACCCAAATGTTGCAATAAGATGGTTAGGGGAAGACCACAATGAAAGCAGAATTTCTAACACACTCCCTCATGTTGGGCCTCAATGAGCCCGAAGCGTGGACGATGCGGGAAGTCCAACAACGGATCTAGAATAGGCTTTATATCATCTTAGAATTTGATTTGGTTCTAACTCGACCTTACAAACTCGGTTTGTAAGGGAAGGGTTCAAGCTTTATAAACACCACATGGGTCAAAACCTCTATAAAATGTGGGAATAAATCCACCTCTTCACACCCAACACAGAGAATGTGTTGGAGGATGCAATGAAGACAACCCAAATGCCGCAATTAGGCAGTTAGGGACAAACCGCAATGAAGGCGGAATTTTTAGGAGTGACAAATGACAAATGTTTATTATAATTATTAAGTATGATTACCCATTCAATAGTGTATTTTTCTATTTTTGAGTATTCTTGTACCATTTTGGGATTTATATTTAGTATATTGATTTTAGTTCTTACGATAGCGGTTACCCCGTTATTTGATATGCCGATTTAACATTTTTGGGATCCAACACTCCATGCCGATATCCAAGATTAATTGGTCCAATATTGTTGACTGATGTTTCCAAAAATAGAGGACTATCTTCACACGAAGATAAAAAAGGACTGCATTGATACTAAAAAAAATTAAGATAAAAAAAAACACCTAATGCAATTTTTCCAATTAAAATCCCACCAAATTAAGAGTATTAAAAGGGAGATAAGCAAACATACACATGTTGTAAAGGGTCAATTAATAGATTTTAAAGAAAAAAATAAACAATATATTTAAACAGAAAAATGGCTGTGAGACTAGTATAGGTTATTTGCCATATAAAGGTATTGAATGTGAACCATACCAATCAAAAAATACAAAACAAATAACATAACTCTAAAATAAAGAGAAAATCATACCAGCAGTGGACTGGAAAAATTCATCCAAATCCTTCCCTTGCTCTGTGCATAAAAAAACCAAGAGAGAACAAGTTTAAGAACATGAAGAAATCTAAAGTATATGGTTATTCCATGGTAAATCCAGAAAGGAACACGATAATCAGCAAAGCACCCACAAATTTCAATGTTTCTGGCATAGAAGTATAAAACTTTAACACAAAAAATTCATACTACAAACACACTATTAAGTATAAACTAATATATTGGATTACAAAACAATTCTAAATTTTATATTTCTTAGTCATAACATGTTTTTTTTAATATTATTTCATATAATATTGTTCTGCCTTACTTTTTTACACATCACCACCACTTGCACACTATCATAAGAATTAATCAATACATTTTCTTCATATAATTAAATGCCAGTGCAGACTACGGATGAAGTAAAAAAAGGAATTTATGCGAAACATGTCCTAAAATAACCATCACATATATTCGTTACAGAAAACATAATTAGTGTTTGGGAAAATAACATTGCAAAAAATCTCTCACCATCTTCATATTCCAAGGCTTGAAGGATCATCTCCACCTGTATAGAACAAAATTTAAAGGATTCAGGTAACTAGGAAAGTGCAAAAGAACCTAAGATAAATTTTAGTCTAAAACCAAAATGATGGAAAATACTAAGCAATGCTCTGGACAAAACTATTTAATAGATATCATAAAATCTACAGCCAGCATGAGCCTTTGTGCTACTTATTTTTTTTTGTTGTCTTTTTCTTTTCAAATCATTTGGGAAAACACAAAGCGTAATCATTATATGTCCCACATTGAGGAGTGTCACCTAATAAGTGGGGATGATTTCCCTTCATTTCTCTTCCACTCCTCCCCTCCCCTCCAAAGCCCTCCCCGTCCTCTTCCTCTTAACTCCCAAACAAAGCCTAATGGACTAGCTTTTTGGGATAGACTCTCCCTTTAGCCTTATCTTGCAAACTAATATAAGCATTAAAAAATTGCTAGAAAAGAATACAAAGTTAAGGTGACAAAATATTGGATAGTACCATCATGTTGATATTTATTCAATGTTTTTCCTTATATATAGTGTAGGAATGAAATAAATGATAAATAATATGCCGCTATGGATAACAAAGAAACTGTTAGGAACTCAATAATTGGATTCCAAATAAAGAACATTCTTTTTTTTTTTTTTAAGAAATGTGATAGAATAAGAGAGAATCTCTCCTCCAGTGGTTTCCCCTTCGCAATAGAAAATACTCTATTCACAATTACAATATTCAAAGATATCCTCTAACCCTTGTGCTCTCGTATTTATACACATACTCCCTAACTAACCCAAATAACTAACGAGCTAACTTCTCTAACAACTCATAACTACAACCCAAATAACTAACTAATTTCTCTAACCCCTCATAACTACCTTAATTAACCTGATTGGCCATAATTCTATATCCTAACAGAAACTATGCATAAAGAAAATATTCCAATAAGCCTAAAGATATAACAAAATGTAAAGAGAAACTAGAAACTAAAACCATTGAAAAAGGTAATATGAAATCTCTTAAGTAAATCATTGAAAGACAGAATAGCCAAACATCCACAAACCTTGTCAAGGTCCTTGACAAATTTGGCTTCTGGAGAAGAATTTGCTTCATACTCTGTCCACAACTCAGCAACTTCCTTGGCTTCATTATTGAAAATGTATTAGGAATCAATAAAGGGATATTTTTGTTTTCTAAAAAATAAAAGGAATAAATGATTAAATACTAAAGTACCTCTAGATCCCCCTCCAAGTACTTTACACATATGATCCAGTGCTTCTTGTTCACGTCGGCTTTTTTCTTCTTTTGGAACTCCATCTGCCGGGGTTATGTCTCCAACAATTGCTGTAAGATAGAGTATTCAAGACTATCAACTTACAGCTCTCTGTATGAGAGATCTAACAGGAGTAACAAAAACGACATTTATAACACTCACATATTAAGCGTCTAGTTATTTGAAGAGCCCAAAACATGGGATTTTTTTATAGAAAACAAAACATGCAACAAAAGAAAGTTTGATTGTGAATACAACAAATTAACAGTAGACAATGCTGAAATTTCTTAGGTTTTCAACTAGAGTAAATATGTAAACAATATATATATATATATGAGAGAGGGGAGTGTTATTTTTTATTTAGGAAAAGGCACTAAGTCATACGTAATACAATATCTCCGGTAAAAATTTAAACTATGTCACTTAGGGTTACAAAGCTTGACAATTACCGCTGCACTTGCAACCAAGGGATCTATGTACGAATCACAAAGCAAACTCAAACGATCAAATCTTATCTTTAACAATACTTTCATGTAGAATACTATATTTCTTACAAACTAATATTTTTAACATTAATTTCTGCTACTCTACACCATTATATATCCAAGTTCATCAAATTTCAAAACATACATAAATAACAGGATAAAAAAATAAAATAAAAATAAAAACAAACAATGTACCTTCTGCAATATCGTGAACAACAGCCATTTTGACACACCTAAATCAAAAAGGAAAAAAAAAACTAAGTTTCACTAAACATACTCAGTAAAAGAATTTTGAGGTAAAACTTCAATTTGGTCTTTAAACTATAGTTCTAAAGTATAGAAATTTAATAAATAGTCTATAAATTATTCTTAGCCCTCTTTAAGTTTAAAATTAAGAGATAATGTAACATTGACATCTCTGGGAAAAAAAAGTGTGTCCGTGTCAGTGTCGATAGTTATATAATTCGGTGTCGGTGCTTCATACATATATATATATATATATATAAGATTATGAACCTAGAAATGAAAACGATATTAACTTATCTCGGTCAATGCCAGGAAAATCCGGTGCAATGAGAGCCATCAAACCCATGCGATACATATGATCCGCGATAGATTCAGGGTCCTGTACGTCTTTCCGCAACCATCCTGCTCGTTTGGTTGTCTGTTTCATTTCACATTCAGAGCAAATAACTCAAGAAAAAGTTAATCAACAGAGAAGAAATAGAGAGGATAATCAGCACCGTACCTTGAGGCGATGACATAGAGAGAGAAAATCAATAGCGGAGGAAGCGGAGGGATTGTTGGTGCTAACGGATGAGGCAGCGTACGCCATGTGAAAAGAAACCCTAGCGGCGAGAGAGGATTTGAATCGTAGCTGAGCGGAAGAAAGAGAGAGAAATGGCGCTGAAGAATAGAGTGAGAGCACAACTCGACTTCCGCTTCCCATTCTCGATTTCTTTATCTTTCTTGTGTTTTTTTTTTCTTTTTTCTATTTTTAATTTGTACTATTGGTTAGTATAAGATCAACCGTGACTAAACCACCAAATCAATGCTCCAACCTATTCCAACTTACTTAATCACCATTTAGAGATTTTCTTAAATACACATTCATAAGAATTTGTTTTATACACAATTAATCACAACCACATCGTGAATCTAATTAAAATAGAAATTAAAATTTATCTCTCTTCTTATTGAATGTTTCCATAAATAAGGATTTATGTCGGTTTTCATATAAGGATTTATGTTATGAATTGTGTATTAAATTAATTACAAATATTTATTTTTTATTTTTTATTTTTTTTAAGACAAATTTTTTAATTGTGAATTTTTTAACATGTATTTTTAGGGCACAAGTATAGCATTACCCTTATATACTTCATTTATCTTTGATTAATTCTTTTTAGTGGACTAATATGAGCTTTAAAAATCTTATTAATTTCCTTTTAAAAAATCATTTTCAATCCATTTTTTGGTTCTAAACAAGCATTTTTTGATTTTATCACAACATAGGAAGTAAAAGAAAATGTAATTAAAAGTAAAGTTCTTTCATTCCATTCCTCATTGTTTGTATTAATCTTGTCTTTAAGTTAAAAAAATATGTGTTGTGTTCGAAAATAAATATCCAAACGAGAAAATATGATTGTCTGTTTAAATTGTGTGGATATTGTAACATGGATGAAATATGGAAATTTAATGTGATTTTTGGAATACATAATCATGTCTTGCAAACAAAGTTAGTTGGTCATCCTATCGTATGTCGTCTTAAATCAAAGAAAAAGAAAATTGTTTCGAACATGTCAAGCTCGAGTATCGGTCACCCTCGTTTGACACCGAAGGGAAGTCTATTTTATCAACTTCAAACTAAAGACGGATGGAGATTTAAAGGTTATGTGGGGTATTTTCTCTGTTATGAATCAAAGGATCCGATTGAAGTGGATGCAAAGATTCAAAAATTTGTCGAGGATATAATTATTATGTTGCAACGTCCCGACGATAACAATCTGCAATGTTGAATTTATTTTAATAACTATTTATGTAATATTGAGTATTTTAATTCAATGTCAAGTTGGTATTGGTGTTTGTTTCATTTTCAATTTATTGAGAGTATCATGTTTCTAGTTTTGTTTAATTTATAGTTTTAGACCATTTTTAGATATACATCTTTGAATTAGCTTGTGAATAAAATGAATAAATAGTGAATTTAGAGATGTATCTCTAAAAATGGCTTTAATTCACTTTATAAATGCATCTCTAAATTAACTTTTAAGTAAAATGAGAAAATGGTGTGTTCAAAGATTTATCTTCAAACATAATAGGACATTTTAGACTTTTCAACAAGAACCTGAGAGAAGGTGACAGGATACAAAGAGAAATTCCCGTAAAAATTACATACCTACTCGACAAAAACTTTAAATTTAAAACAAAGACTCTGTGTATAAACATGCATATATAATTACTTTTTTATTCATCACAAGACATGTACTATCATTCATTCATCACAAGGCCAATACAATCATTCATTCATCACAAGGCTTGTATATTATCATTCATCACATCTAAATTATAGATGATAATTTCCTTAATATCAGTAATAATATCATTCATCACAAGACTAATATCATATTAAAAACCACTTCAAATGTCTAGTGATTTCACCATTTAAAATCCATATTACGTAAACTACTAGCCCTTTATAAAGGCCATTAAAACGGTCACATCACATAAAATTGTTAATTACAACCATCCATGAGTATTAAATAACAGAAAATTTGAAATCATTAGTTAGTAAACATGCACATCAGCTAGTTTTTATTGTTGAACCTGCACCCAAATAAAATCAACACCCAAGTAAATTAGTATATCACATTAAAATCTGAAAAATATATTAAAAAGAGCAGTGAAAAATAAAAACAGAATTAGTATAATACAAATTAAGTATAGAAAAGTAAAAAAAATACAAAACAAAGCCATTATCTTACAAAAAGAGAAGTATCATTTTTCTCAATCACAACCTATTGGTTGTGTTTGAGAAGAACCTACAACAGCACCTTTATTTGTTGCTTCTACTTCACCAGTACTTACCCCAATATTTGCAGTAATATAGCATTGTGGAAATTCTAAAACAATAACATGACAATGATATAATTAGTAGCAGCCAACAAAACATGAACATATCAGCCAACAAAAAATAAACATGGCAACCAACAAAAAAATGAACATGGAGTATGAATTTTGGTACCCGATATGATTTCTTCGGTTATCCCAAACTATTCAGTGTAATTGACGTCTTTGAAATATGTAAGAGAGGGCTTCAACCACTTCTGAGTGCATATCAGCCCTTCAGCCACTCTTGGACTCAAATAACTCTTATAACATTCTAAAACCTTCTTCCCCTATGCTAAATGCACTCTCTAAAGCTACGGTTGAAACAGGGGTGTCCAAAATTTCTTTCACCATTGCTGCTAGAATTGGGTAACGAGGTCTATTTAGTTCCCCCCAAGTTAGAATGGATGATATGTATTATCATTTACACAAGAATCATTCAAGTACCTCTCGTTCATTTTGTTTATCAATGGTATCATTATCCTTAAATGTTGCTTAAAAGCATCAGTCCTTTGAGAATGTGAAGAGTTTCTAAGTTGAGCATCAAGAAGAGGTGATTGTATGGTCACATTAGTTTGCTCATTGGCAGATTTTGTACCAGGTGTACAATTTGAAATTTTGGTATAACAAAACTCAGATGTCTTATAATATGTTGAGACATCTGATCTGACTTAAACATTACGGTAAAGTATAAACAATTAAAACCAGTACTGAAAAGCATAAACAATATACATAAATTGTTAACCCAATTCGGAACAACCTTCCTACTCTGGAGGCTACCAAGCCAAAGATAAGTCCACTAAAATAGTATCAATTCATAGACCGTACAACAAACATCCAATTTACGGTCTAATCACTCAATCATTACTAAACTTCTATCTAAGACTCACTTAGATATGAGGCCCTCCTTAATCCCTCATCAATCACAGACAGCGATTGGACAAACAGGAAGACACACTTCCATGACAATAAACTAAAAGACTCGCTTTCATGACAATACCTTGTCAAGAATCTTGACTAAGAACAATACTTAGAGTTACTTACAAGTTTTCTCCAAGAAAAATACCCAACTCATTACTTTATAACTTTTGAGTGAGAACAATACCAACTCTTCTAGAGAGTGACACAAAGACAAAGCCCTAAGCTTCTACATCTTGGACCCGTGTCTTTTCTAGGTTATAAAGACTCCTATTTATAATTTATATCCAACTGGATTTGACCTTTAATCACAGTTCACCTGCTGTTATAAATCAGCAGTAATTTTTGTGAGGACAAGATTTCAATGATGTCAAAACTATGTTGGAAATGTTGCTAGATGATATAGTGGACAAAGTAGCATGAAAAGTCTTCAAGAATTGGCATTTTTGAAAATTTATACTCTATGGGTCAACTCAAAGAAAGCTCAGGTCGACGCATGATTAAAATTTGCTCCTTTGGAAAGTCTCGGGTTTGCTCACGTCGACTATGTGATCGACTCATCCTGAAAGCAATGTTTAGGAACTATGCGTCGACGTATACTCCTGGAGCGGTCGATGCATGGTTCTTGCACTCTGTCATGTGGCATCTTTGGGAATGCTCAGATCGAGTCATTCTTCTGCATAGGTCGACACATGGCTTATATACACTGTCATATGGCACTTACAGGAATGCTCAAGTCGAGTCCCCCTTTTGCATAGGTCGATCGCTCGCTCGTAAAAATTGTTTTTCAGTTTGTTAGTTTGGGTCTTGACCTTAGATAACATATATACAATTGTTTGGTTATTTCATTTGGTTTTCAACAAGAAAAGTGAAATAGATACACAAGGTACCCATCATCTTCAACCTCTCACTCATCCATTGACAACTACACATAATAATTTTTGTCGATCAAGGTGCGGAGCGTGTGTTGACAACATCCGAAGTAGAAGATTGCGATCTTGTTCGGGTTGAGTAATTGTGGATTTTTCTTGAATAAAATATGAGGGTTTTATCCTCCAAGATCATTGGGATTTGGGGTTTTTTTGACAATTCTTTGCTTCATCAAATTCAATTGTGCTTAAGGGATTGAGGAACTGTGGGTTCGCTCAACAAGGTATCTACAATCGGAGAATTTTTAAGGAAGAATTGGGGTTATCATCTTGCGATCAAATCATCCGAGCAGAGGTTTTGAGAAACGGTTTGGATTCCTAACAAGGTAGCTACAACCGGAGGTTTATCGAAGATTAGTGACATACTTGATTCAAATCGAATCAAGGGAAGAGAGGAGCTTAGTTTTCAATTCAACATATTGGTTTTAAATTGTGGTGATTATTTTCTATCTCTTGTATAAACTTTACAATCATAATAGCAACCATCCTAATTCTAAATTCTAGAATTAGGGGCAGACGTACCCCACGCGAGGACGACGGGGGGAACTGCCTTAACAAATCGTGTGTCGTTTTTCTTTCTCGCTCTTTACCGTTTATTTGCAATAATCTGAAAATTTGCTCTTGTGGCTCCAATTGTCCTGATTTGCAATGCAATAAAACTGTTACTAAAAACTATAGTAATCACTTTGATTGCTATAATTGATTTCAACGCTACAAATTAAGGTAGATTGAACTTGGTGAAATTAAGCACACCAAGTGTTTGATAAAAGTCCAAAAGTGCAAATTTGTGTATTTTCTTCTCAACATTTCATTGGAAGTAATTAATAATAGTTAAAGAGTATAAGTGATCAATTATAATTAAATTAAGTGTTAATAATTCTCATTGATTCATTCCATTCGGTTTTTCGCATATCCAGCCTTTTCAATAGAGGACCATTTTAGACGAGTGTATCCGGGTAGCTTTCACTGCGCTTCAAGTTTTTCTTATAAACTG